AACCACAATTCTAAACAAGTTAGAAGCATTCGAAATGTGGTGCTATAGACGAATCCTAAAGATATCGTGGGTTTCGCACACTTCCAATGAAGATGTTCTTCAAATGATCAACTCAGAACGTCTGCTCATAAACATCATAAAGAGGAGAAAAACAGAATACTTCGGCCATATAATTAGAGGACCCAAATACCATTTACTTCGCCTTATAATACAAGGAAAAGTGGAAGGAAAGAGATGGATTGGTCGAAAGAAACTTTCATGGCTGCGTAATATTAGATAATGGTGTGGTTTCACAGTAGAAGAATTATTCACGACACGGCACCCAAAGAAGAAGAAGAAGAAGCAATTTAGCTTATCATTTAAGTTTAGAGTAAAAAAACCTTATTTATCTAGTATTAAACAATATTTTTTTTTCGCAATTTTCTCCACAGAAAATCTTAAAATTTTTCATTAAACATTGTTAAAATAAACTATTTTTCATAATACCTAGATGACTTGATTGACCAGAATTTATTCTCAAAAAAGGAAAATTAGAAAATTCCAAAATATTTGATAAATTTGTCCATCAGTGTATTTATTGCCTTTATTTTTTCAGAAAAATGTGTTACTTTTAAGTGTAGTTCCACAAACAACTTCAAAAGCTGGTATAAACCTGAGGGTGCCTTAAATCAAATATTTAAAAAACTGTAAACAAGTATTAATTTTGAGATAACTATTTAGGTGTGTAAGAGTTGCAAGAGTGCTAAAGAATGAAAACACATAAAGAAGAGAAACAATAAAAAGGAGTTAAATAGTTCATATGACAATAAATTGGAACATTCACAAAGGCTATTACTATGATTATTAAGTTACTTGGAGTGGACTTACAGTCTGACCATAATTCTTTAGGTGCCAATATTAAACTAAGGATAAAAACTTAAAAGAAGGAAAGACAAGATATTAACAAATTCAAAAAATTGAGATTAAGAAGAAATAAACAAAAGTTTATTTATTGCACAGTTTATTGCACAGACCACTAATAAGAATAATAATAAGGTAGGTGCATAATAAAGATGCAGAAAAGTACAAGGAACACCACAAAAAGAACTTAAAGAAATAAAATTAGCAAAATAATCCTGGCTGTTAGAGAAATGCTTAGAAATAGAGATCCTACAGAAAAAACATGATATATTCAATATGCACAGGAAGATCAAAGAAATGGCAGGAATATATAGAACAATGCCCATGGCACTGTTTGATAAAGATGAATACATACTATTCAATACATAAGAAAAGCTGGACAGATGGCAGGAATATATAGCAGAACTGTTCAGTGACAACCAACACATTGAAGTATATGACAATGTCGAGAATGGAACAACAATAACAAAATCAGAAGTAAGATCTGCTTTAAGTCGTCTAAAAACCAACAAAGTGCCAGGACCTGATGGAATATATGCTGAGGTATTGAAATTGATAGAAGACAATCAACTTGACATTATGACAGAATTATTTAACTGTATATATGAAACAGGAACTTTGCCAAAAGATTGGTTTATGGCCATATTTATACCACTGCCAAAAAAGCAAATACTAAGAAATGTGAAGAACACCGAATCATTAGCCTCATGAACCACTCACTCAAAATATTCTTAAACATCATCCATGCTCGCAAATACAAGAAATTGGATGAGGGTATTGCTGATATACAAGTTAGATTTCGCGAAGTAATATATAATCTGAGATATGCAGATGACACTGTCTTTGTTGCGGATAGTGCTGAAGGATTACAAAGACTGATAGATCAAGTAGTTAACATCAGTAGAAAATATGGAATGAAACTTAATAATAAGAAGACGAAAATTATGATCATAAGCAAAAACCAAGATACAGATGCAAAGTTTATGACAGACAATGAGGTATTGGATAGAACAGAAAAAATTACATACCTAGGATGCGACATCACAGACAGCTGGGATCACTCATACGAGATTAAAATGTAGGATCAAAAAAGCAAGGAGCGCCTTCCAACAGATGAAGAAAGTGCTCTGCAATTTAACCTTGAACTTACATCTCCAACTCAAAATCCTTAATTGTTATGTGTTTTCTTTTCTTATGTATGGTGCAGAGGCATGGACACTCACTGATGCGTCTTGCAGACGGTTGCAGTCTTACAAGATGTGGTGCTATTGTCGCATGCTCAGAATATCATATGTACATCATATAACTAATGACTCTTGAAGTCTTGAAATCCATTAAAGAGAGAAAGTTGGCATACTTCGGATATATAGTGAGAAATGAAAATAAATACAGAATCCTACTATTGATATTAGAAGGGAAAATAGAAGGAAATAGAGGACCAGGATGCCGCCGAATATTATGGCTTAAGAATTTGAGACAGTGGACAGGTATGACCACCACAGACCTATTTTCAACAGCTGCTAATAAAATATGATGGGCCATTGTGGTAGCCAACATCCATAGAGGATAGGCACTAGCAGAAGAAGGTGATTTGTGGTTTATTGCATCTGACAGGTGGTCAAATATTTATCAATGAAGGTTCATGTTATAATTACTCCTGGTAGAAAATACATTTATTTTAATAGCATGTTACAGTTACTGTCAATAATTTCTTGATTGTCAAATTTAAATAAAACTGATATTAAAATGCATGTTCTGCATGTTTTTATGAATGCAAAAATGCATTATCGAATTGTAATATAAATTTTCTTTTAAATTATGATAAAAAAATATGTATCATATTTTTAAACAAACAACACAATTGCAAACAAGTTCACAGTTGCCCAAATATATTTTAAAAAATTCGTAAAAATCGAAAACAATCACATTTGCATAATTTCTATATCGCCTGATTGTATGCAACTTATATATGACAACACTATCGCCTAGCATTAGTTCAAGTTTTACTATTTTGGCCGATCGGGGTTGATTTTTTAAAATTGTTCTTGGAATGGTGAGAACGTTTTATAACTGATACATAAAAATGAATTTTTCTGACGCTTTACCAGCTTGTAGTAATAGTAATGTTGATAGTGAGTGTTTGGACATTGTTGTTTTACTATTGTAATCGTCATTATCTAGAAGAACTGAAGTTGATAGAAAAAAAATTATTATGAATGAAAGGCCTACTCCATCATTGCGTATTGACCAAAAAGATCGGAAAAAGGTGCATACTTTTAATTGTTCTTGGTGTGATGTCTATAAATGGTTGTCTGAAAGTATTACGAAAAACATACTATATTGTTGGTCATGTTTGTTATTTTCTAATAAAAAATGTGCATATATATGTGGATACTTTGATTTAAAAAATATGTCTACCTCCTTAAGAAAACATTCCAGTTGCAAGGAACATTTAAGTAATTTCCTGTCCTTTAAGGATGTACAGAAGAGAGCGTTTTTCTGTTCGTAACTTGCTTGGAAATTTTAAAGCTATTTGGGAATTAATATTAAAATCAACTCCAGAACTAAATGATCACTGGTAGAAAAAAATATATTTCAGAGGTATCTCAAACACGATATAAAACGAACTAATAGATCTAGTGAAAGACGAAATTCATATTTTTATCGAGAATGCCATAAATAACTCTACATATTTTGGATGCATTCTTGATGAAACAACCGATATTACTGAAAGGGCACAATGTTCAATAGTATGCAGATTAGTGGACACAAAAGGCGTTTTCAAGAATATTTCTTATGTTTTTTTTTTTACCTAGGGAAAGACTGAAGTGCTCCAGCGTTACGTGACTTATATTTAGTGTAATTCGTAAATTTGACTGTAAGGCTAAATTAATTGCTCAAACCTACGATGGAACTAGTGTTATGTCGGGACAACTTAACGGACTTCAAAAATTAGTGAGAGATTCTGCACCATTAGCAATATTTACCAATTGTTTCTCCCACCGCCTCAACTTAGTTTTACAGAAAAGTTGCTCCAACATTACAACAGTCAAAATATTTTCCTCAACGCTTCAAGGTATTCCAGCTTATTTTCACCAATTGTCCAAACTGTCATAGTTTTTAAATAAAATACTTGGAAAACGAATTACCACAAATAGTGAAGTCAGATGGAATTCAAATGCAAAAGTAGTATATGCTGTGCCACAAGAAAGAAAAAAATTGTTACAAGTCTTTCAGGACATAATAAATTGCCCAGAATCAAATGCAAAATCAATTAGGCGTGCAGATGGTTTTAAACATAAGTTGGCGGATTTGGAATTTGTATTTTTATTAAATGTTTTTAGTGATATATTTCAAGAAACTGAGCTCTTATACAACATCTTGCAGAAGAAAGATAATGATGTTCAATAGTGTGCCAATTCAGTGTCCAGAAGTGTTGCAATGTTAAAAAGCTGGAGAAATGACCTTACATTTTATAACCATTTCAACATTGCTGTTAGCGAAACCAATTCTAAACCCATCTTAAGTCATAGTGAACTTGATATTTTACCTAGTAGTTCATCTAATAATGGAGATCAAAGTTTTTTGGAGACAGCTAAAACTAGATTTAGAAGGATCTCTTTTGAGATTTTGGACAATATTATCACTCAATTAAAGCAACGTTTCTCAGATTACAAAAAGTTTCAATAACTGGAATTGGATGATAATAAAAGATTCACAGAATATGGCGCTAAATTTACGATGTTATTTGCTGGCTTGGCCTACCCAAAATTTTACCACACCAGCCGTCACTGTAAGGTTATGCAATTTTTTCAAGAACTGAAGACCAAGTCATAGGTGGAAATTCTTCTTCATCGATTTTTCAAATTTTATGATTTTCATTAAGGTTTAAATAATTATAAAATGTCTGAATTTTATGTGTTAATTGAGGAAATATTAAAACTTCACCTAACATTGCAAGTAGGACCTGCATTTGCATACATTTGGCGCAATTAAGTTGAATATTTAGGTAAAATGATTGGTAATTATCATTGGAATATATAAATGATATAAAGCTAAGGTAATATTTTATGAAGAGAAGCAGTCTTTTAATTACTTACCTTTATCACTTGTTTCTTTGTCTTCAAATGGTATGAATTTATCTTCATATGTTTCTTTTTCTGTCTTTGTAGGGTTCTCCTTTAATACTAAATAATCAAACCCATCATTTGTAGTTTCCCTCTTGGGCTCCTCGTTAATCTCAACTTTAAGGGTATCAAAAAGGGCACCTCCCTCACTGTCTATTTCTTCTTTACATGTGTATTCATTAACTTCTTGTTTTACTTCCATTATTAATATTTTATTTGATTTATAAGAATTGATTACTATTAATGGAATTAAAAATATTTGCGGAAACTATTTGACTAGCAACCTATTATCAATGTATTCTACTACTTCTGTAACTACGTTGTAAACGTTGTGATTCTGCAGTGGGATCTTAGGCTAGGCAGGCTATCTATAATTAAAACCCAAAAATGCTTCGCTTCAAACTTCCAACAAAAATATAAACAAAAAACCAGCATAACCTCAATGTTCTTCTTCTTCTTCCTTTATTCACAGACCACGGGAGGTAGGTGATCTGTGCCTTTATTGGGTAATATCCACTAGCGTCTAGAGCTTGACCCACTATTCTGTGCAGACCATTTCTGAATGTGTCATTGGGCGCGTTCAGCACGGAGCAGCTACCGCTCCGCTACTTCCGAATCCATCGTAAAGCGCTGGACCAAACGTCATAAGTCAAAACCTGCTGGATTCCGCTACCGCTCCCTTATCTGTCAATGTCAAATAATTTGTCATTTTAAAATTAAATATTTTGATTATGTTTTAGATTGCCAATATTTAGCTTGACTTTTAAATATTATTAAACTTTACGTCACATTACTAGCGGACAAGGAAAATAATATCCAGCTAATTGAAAATGTTGTGGATCAGTTGGCACAAACTGAAGAATTAGAGCTGAATAATGCTGAGAGAGCTCAAGTTCCTCCTAATCAAAATTTTTATGAGGAAACCATTCCCCAATATATGGGAGATCTTTTTAATAGGCGATAAAGCATTTTCGCATGAGTAGGGAATGTGCTGAAGTAGGTTTTAGTAAAGATTATTAGTTCTTTGAAAACTACATATAAATGTTTTAGGTAATTACCCAGCAACTAGGAAATTTAGGAGTTATACCCATTGGAGCTACAATTCCTTTAGATAAAAAAAGTGCTGTTCACCACCTGGGTTTTAGCTAAACCAGAATTGTTTGTAGCCTGTGGCGGCAGGTTCAATATAGCCAAGAGTACAGCCCATAGTGTATTTTTAAAGAAATTGTGTCAGCAATCTTATTATTAATGCCTCAATATATAATGTGGCCAGATAACCATAATGAAGCAATAATGGTAATAATAGACTTTGATCCACAGACTTTCTGAAAACTGAAGATAAAACGCAAAGAATGGGCAAACTTACCTCAAGAACAAGTTGATGCTTTGATTAGAAGCATTCCCCGTCAGATTGAAGCTTGTATTAGAGCTAGAGGTGTAACACTGACTATTAAAATGAACAACAAGCCTGTATCTTTTTTTAGTCAACCATTGCAATGTTTTCATTTGTTCGTGTTTTTGTTAATTTAATGTATTTGTAACATTTTTTTTATTTTTTTTTATAGTAATTTAGCTGGTTTAGTATAAAATGTAGTTCATTTTTCATTAAAAAAAATTTAGTAATACTTTACAAAATCGGAAATACTGGGTGATTCCATGTGTATATTATTGATTTTTATTAATTATTATTGATGTGTGTATATTATTAAACTATATCCCATACATTTCTTGACAACTTTTCTCCATCTTCCTTAGAGATGATAATTTAATTTACTATTTTTGCCCAGGTCTATGTACATTTAAAACTTGTTTGCATCTGTAGGTAATATAAATAATAATAAAAAATAAATAAAATTTGGTTTATATGTGCAGCTTGTTGGGACTCAATAAAGAGTACTTTTTTCATGCATAAGAGTATATTTTCATGCATAAATACTATATGTAAAATTAATGAAGTTAATATAATTAAGATATTGTTAATTGTGTGTGTGACAGTATGCAGAGAGATTTGGCTTCAAAACTATGTTCATTAGCCATAAATCATATCAATAGCATATTAACTTTTAATTTAATGTATTGTATTATATGTACCTACTTTTTACCTAAAGGTTGCAATATTTAATGAGTTGTCAAAATTTAGATAGCCTCATAAGCCTTAGTTTCCTATTATTCACTATCATTATGTGCCATGCAACAGCACGGAGTATGAAGGAGAGTAGTTCTTCTGTGATGTGGGTATTGAGATATATCTCCCTTTTTATGTATGGTGCAAGTATTCCAATCGCTGGGGAGGGACTGCTGTATTCATATTTCTTTTCTAGGCTGCTGTGATGCCACTGCCAGTGATATTCAAACTACCTTCTTTATATAGATCTGCTGGAAAATTAGTTACTCTTAGCCCAATTACTACCTTATAAATATTTTTACTTGTTAATTGAAAAATATGACAGACCCCTATTTTATATTTGATGCCATTCAATCTAGTGTTATAAAACATAAAAGAGAGTGGTAGTTTTAGGTAGTTAGACTCAGTATTATAGAGTTATTAGGATGTAAATGTAAGTAATAGAATTAAAACAGTATTAACGAAATGAGTGGAGTTCAGTGTGATGGAAAAATACTAATAAAGCTAATAGGTAAACTCAACAGGACCTATTTATTATTAAATATATTGTTAAATGTAAAGTGTGGATACAAGGAGAAGTCTCAGAGTCATTTAAAACTAACCGAGGTCTGCTTTGGGAGATGCACTATCATGCTTGGTATTCAATCTACTGTTAAATGCTGCAGGAAGGAGGTGACTGAAGTGTGATAAGGATAAGAAGGTACCAGTAAAACTAAAGGACAGGCTCTATAATACTGTCTTGAGACCAGTGATTATATATGGTACTGAATGTTGTACAGTAAATAGGAATAAACAGAAATTACATGGCTGAAATGAGCATGCTTCATTGGGTGAGTGGAGTAACTAAAAAAGATGAGGTGAGGAATAATTTTAATAAAACAAAAGCTACTAAAAATATATCATTTTATTTACAGTGCTATAAATGCAGTTAATACAATAAACTGATTTGGAAAAAGAATATATGAATAGTACAATAACAAAAAAACAACATATATTCACAAATTTTTTTTTACTGAATACACTGAAGTGTACTTACATTAAAATCTGGTCAGTAAGACCAATTATCAATTTGTTTCTAACTTAAATTACTAATGAAAACTTAAAATTAGGTGTCTACTCACTAGTATCTTTCCTATTATTTCTAATAACTAGCATTAAATTTAACATGCATACTCGCACAACACTTTGCTCTGCTTTTCACTCACTCACTATACCAGTTCAAAAGGCTTTGTTTTTTTGAGCCTTCTCTCTAGGTTCGTATTATCGAGGAACTGGATAGCCTCGACGTTTACATGATGGAGACGTTGTTCATGGCTCCCTGCAAATTTCTTGATTATCTGATTGACGTCTTCCATCTTGAGATCCCGGTAAAGATTGTTGTTCCTAACGTACCAAAACATTTATACAGTTGAGTATAACAAACTTAATCAAAAACCCAACATACAAACTTATACCTCTGTTAAACCGGTAGAACCTTCAACAAATGTATACCAGAACACAAAAGAGCTTTCAACAACAAAAAACACGAGTCTACATGCACACTTCACCTTTTATATCATAACAACATACAACTTATTTAGACAATACAAATGTCGCCAATTTCCAAAAAATGTAAAATAAAAACAAAACAAACACCTAACCCTCAATTTTAGTACCGAAATGTCAATAATGACATTTCTCTCAACATGTTGGATGGATGTAGCGATACTTTTTACGCTACCAAATTTGACAGGCCGCTCCGGAAGTAGCGCCGCGGTAGCGGTTGCATTTTGCAGACTTTTACTCAACAGTTGTGGAGCAGCTCCGTCTGCTGAACGCGCCCATTGAGGTTTATGTATGTTGTTGGTTGCGAACATTTTTTTATAAATTAATATAATTACTTCAATCCATCTCTTTAACCCGTTTGATAAATTTAATAATGTTTAAATTATAAGAATAACTCTAAAATAAATAGTAAATAATAGCAAATCAAAATAAAAGGTTTTTTAAATACAGGATGTTATTTTTATGTTTATTTTAAATACAGTTTTTTATATACAGGATGTTGACTGATGTTATAGTCTATTCGCTTAGCTAGGGCATATTTTGACAGACTCATTGTCGGAAACCTACAACACAACAATTCCTACTTCTCAGTATTAATAGCTCAAGTATACTACTATTGCAGACTTCTTTCTTTGAAAAAAAGAAGAATTATTCTAAATAGTGGAAGTCGTGGAAGTGTATACTAAACCCATCAAATTTTCCCTGTATAAATATATTTGAATTGTTATAATTTAAAATATTGTAGTAAATATTTGTGTTATTCGCGTTGTTTATTTAAATTAATATAGTTTTATTATCTTTATTTAATTCTTTTGTTAGTTCTATTTAGTTAATTAGTTAGTTATATTTAAAATTTTATTATTATGGATAGTCAGTTTTCCATTTGTTCCATCAGCTAATGCGTTGGTAAGTTTTTCTTAATAAATATGATAAAAATGTTTTTTAAAAGTTAATATTTTTAGATTAGTTTGTTTCTAATTTAATAAAAACTTGTTTATACTTACATGGAGGTTTTTGTTGTTTGTTTGGGTTTGTATGACTGCAGACTGCGGCCAGGACACTGAATTCATTCACCATATGTGGAAGATTTTAACATCCTCAAATGCTAATGAGCAAATATTTTTTTAACATACATGTACAACTACCACATGTTTTTTTTGCTGTGCTAATTTTATGAAAATTGTAAACTATATTTAGTTCAATTTATTGTTTATACAACATAATTATACAATGTCCATTGTCGTAAGCTTCTTTACAATAATTGTGAATATCTTTGACTGCTACATATCTTTTTGAGATGAACTGATGATAATATCAAATTGGATAGCGAAACGTTTTCAATAAATAGATGAAGTAGCCATCATCTTTGTCTTTTTTCTCCAATTTTTGACCGAAAAACCCGCCACTCTTCGAGTGATCCTTAATTTTCGGCAAAATGAAGGCATCGCATTATAAGCAAATAGAGGTATGAAGAAACACTCTACTCATGTATGAAGAAAAACAAGTCGAAAATAATCTTTTTTTCTTCCAGT